TGGAGTAAATGAATGCTGCTCCGCTTTTTTTTTACACGGTACCTTTTAGTAGGTTCTTCAATGATAACTAACGCTTCCCCAAAACAGCATTGTGACTACTTAATTTCGCGAACGAGTCTTTTCTTTCATACCCTTTGGTTAGCAGATTTGGTCCCTTTTCAGTTTAAATGCAGTAGCATAAAATGCCTGGCTTTGTTCGCTCGACCATATCGGTAGCCAATAAAATCTTCTACAACTCTCGGTTAAAGGCCAACTGCGAACATGCTTTCGTAAGATATGGAGAGGATGTAGCGTCTTGCAGCGGTCCGTGGTCGCTATGGCTTTAGCCGATTTGCAAAATCTTGCTCTAAAGTAACTAGGAGGTATTGAGAAGGCTTGCTTAGTGAGTGTTGATGCGCGGTGTCTTTTTCGATTCGAATTATTCTCGTATTTCTTGATGACGTCCAATTTAAGCTGTTGAGACGACAACTGCGAATACTCATCATTGTCTTTAGGCCCATGACGAAATATACTTGTGCTGACTCGGCGCTGATTTTGCGCTCTTTATCCCATTTTAGGCAAGTTAGCGGAAATTTCGGTTTCAACATCAGAAACCGTCTAATCACAGCAATAATGTCCAACATTGCTCTCCATCGTGCTACGTCCGACTACACATCTTCAAGTGACAGTAGCCGACTCGTGAGCCCGCCCAGCGTAGCTAGCGGTGCTAGCGGCAGTACCTTCTCAGACAGTCTGGCTGTTCTGCCACCGCATTCGGGTGGGCTTTATGGAGACCCTCTAGTTCAGCCCTACGATCGCCAACAGGTCATACCAGTCGGGGACGGTAATCATGGCAAGTTTTCTTACGTGGCTTCTTCAAATCATCTTTTTTCTCCGCTCTATGGTATTTGAGTTACTCCCAGAAAACATCCATGGAACCTCTATCTGATATTTTAAGAATAAAGTTTATTCATGTAATGAATATACATCCTTTCCACTAATAAGAGCTGGTTCCCTCTAGATTTGTTGAAAGAAAATAACTAATTTCGTCGCTGGTTGCCAGTCCTGGTTTTACACTACTGAATATATTTCCTTGAAGTTGCTTCAACTGATTATGTAACCAGGCCATCCAAGAATCATTTCGGCGCAACTGTTTGAAGTGCAATTCATATACTTAATGAGCGCACATGCACTTTGCACACCTGAAGTCGGTTTATACTCCTCTTCGGCGTTCCTCGACCATTCTAGCTCTTCCTAGGACTGCGTGAATGCATTTCACACCATTTGCAGTTCCTCAATTTCCCACTCGCTTTTCCAGTCGATTGCATCGCCTTGCAGGTATGCAGACACCAATGGCTGCAATATATCACCTTCGGCCGCCGCATGCACACATGCTTACACTTGCAAACCGTGTGCGTGTGTGCGAGCATATGCGCTAATGTGCAGACGTAGCCATGACACCCCGCACGCAGGTTTGCGGTACCACCTACCGACGGACCGCCAGGTGGCCAGACTGCACATGCATCTCGTGTTCAAACGTGTCTCACAAACACATCCTCAAGCCGTGTTGACTTATGTAAATGATGAACCAAGATTTTCCTCACACTGGAGGTGCCTTGTTTCGAAGCCTTTACAACGACGTTCTTCGTCTGGCTACCACTTTATTCTGTGCTCTAACATGCTTTTTGAGTAAACGAGTTCCGTTAATTTATAAAGGTCTCTTCCTTTCGCTGCTTCCCTAATTGTTAGTTTGTCCAACGCTATGGGCCACTTTTCAAACCGGGGGTCACTGTTATTTCAACATTTGATTTTGTGCACACTTCAGGTATGCTCCTTCATAGGGAATATCTGGGTCGAATCGTTGTTTGTGTTTTAAAATGAAGCTTTACTTATTTAACCTTGCTTTAGTACTTTTTAAAGCTTCATAATGGTGCAGTCCATATTGCATTATTAGAGTGTGCTCGTCATTGTCTTTCCCCTTCGGCTCCCTAACCATAGCAGTAGAAACGCTATGCAGGTTTATCGCTTCATCCGATATTATTTACATGGGAGCAAGGCGTCACGGCGCCTTCTCCAAAGCTTAATCTGGTAAGGAAATCCGTTGATGAGTCTGCCTCAACAGCATGATTTCTTTTTACTGGAAACAAAAAAACTGGCCCCTCACTATAAAGTTTTTCCATCAGGACGGTGGACTCGTTTGGAGGGAGAATGTGAGCGCCAACAGCATTTCGACGAATTCTCGACCAGCAACCCCAGCGCTGAGAACACCCAATCACCTAATCCTAATCCCTCGGTCCCTCCTCATCCCGCAAACGTGCCGTTGACGCCCTCGTTGAAGAATTGGTGCTCTGTGTTCTATTACGAGTTAAACAACCGTGTTGGTGACGTTTTTCATGCCTCAAAACCCAAGTTTACTGTAGACGGGTTTACGGCGCCATCTTTAGGGACAGAAAGGTTCAGTCTAGGTGGGCTCAGTCACGTAAATCGTCCACCTCAAGTTGACATGACGCGTCGCCACATCGGTAAGAAATGTTTAAATCGTATGATTTGCTTCTTTTCAATCCTTTGTTCAAGCAGTGTCCAGCCTCGTTTGTTCATTCATTGTATTGGCTGCTGCATTGTTAGAGAAGGTTCTCGCTGCTCTTGTTAAGAATGCCTGGGAGTTGCGATGCCAGTGGGCCATCGGATAATCGAAGAGGCTTTCGCTGTTGCAATAATCACATTTTCCCCACAATAATCCGATGAGCGGGCACATTTCTAAGCTTCTACAGTTGTTGATCACTCCAGTCACATTCTTCGGTAGTCCTTCATTGAATTTCTTCTTAACATTGCAAATGTGATCTAGGGTGTAACGAGAACTGGGAAAGTGCCCGTAATCTTCCTCCTTTCACTCCTCACAAGCTTGGTCTCTCTTTTCGGCAACGTGGCAGAACTTAGTCCCTACTGGAGCTATGATTCAAGGCCTTGTAGGTGCAATAGTCATTTCGCCATGGAGATGGATGTAGCTTTATTTTAGCATCGCTTGTCTGTTTAATTAGCCTGGCGTTAGGTTATAGCGTATCCGATTCGATGTATTAATGCTAGGATGCGCAGGTTTACTCATACATGGGTTGATGACGTTTTAGCGCCGTTATCGTTCATGAGCTATAACCACAAGAAGCCTGTGAGGAACTGCCTGACTTGCATCAAAAGTAATGCGCAATCTTTTGCAAGCTGTTCCTTAGTATGAAGCTAGCGTTGATCGTGATGTGTTAGCTTCCGTAATCTTTTAAGAAGAATTGCCTCTTACAAAACTAGGTCCTTTTTTGTCACAATCTACCAATTTTTTTCATGCAGCTTACTAGTAAGGATTGAATGCTCCATTAATTTCATTCGAATTAGAATCTCAAAGATAGCATGGGGAATAAACACATTCCCGTCAAAGTCATAACATACATTTTGTTTATCCATTTTTCAGGCCTCTTTCATTTCAGCTGCTTTTACCATCAGGTCAAATGGCATACCATTTCAATGTATTCAATTTGGAGCTACTTGGCAAATTGTTTTGAGCCGCGAATCCACTTTAGTGGCGGGTTTGTGAGTGAATTCGCGGAGGTGTTTGCATGTAGTGATTTTGGTCTAAAGGAACCTCTATCAACACCATAACTACACAGGTATTTGCCTCCGTGAGCTCAGCTACTCCTTGGTTGTCACCGCTTCGGAGAGTACATGTAGTTTAAAAGTCTTCAATTTTGGTCTGTTTTGACTGATAAGGTTCCAAAATGTTGCAACTCGGTTTCATTTTGGTCATAATAAATCATTTGCACCATTACCTGGAATCTTGTCGTATTTCCATGCTGAGCGCATTGTTCCCCACATCTAGCACACCTAACAGTTGGGATTTGATGTTGCTCGACTTCTTCTAGGATGCGTTGGTTCTCGAGCTCTATTGGCACCTGACTGTTGATGTAATCAGTTCAAGTTTTGCCCTCTTCAGTTTCGGAGTGAAATGTGGCAAACGTTCACTGTCGTGCTTGTCGTCAATTCCTGTTGCATCGCGCTCTTTGTTGATTTCTCCATTACTTAGGTCCTGATCGAGTAGAATTTTTGTATTAAATCGATAAGGACTTGCATAAAATGAATGCTAAATGTCTCTGCTAAAGTGCTCAACACTTTGTGCCTCAAAAGCAACTTGTTGAGTAGGTAACGCCCTTATCAAAAACATTTCCTTCGACTCCGATGGCTTGATGAATACTGCTGGTCCAAGTATTCATTCCTCAGATTACCGAATCTTCCAAAGTTGGAACTAGGCATCTTCAAAAGCTACTCTTGTTCACCGAAATACGTTTACTTAAATCTCATCAATGATTCGCGCCAAATGTGTAGTTCTTGCTAAATTCTATTGCATTAGTGCATACATTTTGCTTGCGCGTAAAAAAATTTACTGACATTCTCAGTTTTAACTAACTTTTATTATCAAATGCGTATGGGGGTAGTCGAAAAGACGCATATCCTTTCCTCGCGGGTCGTGCTCTCGCGCATTTCCTCCCTCCCACAGGCCCCAGGTTTGGCCTCCAATGCAAGTACATGCACACTAGTCTGAAGCGTCTATCATTGGAACGTTGGAAGTTGTTTCATGTCACTTTGCTGAATCGGAAAATGAGATGAGTTGGATTCTTCCATGCCCACTTTACGGCCAACTCCAAGCGATAGCATCGCCTTATTCCAAAGCACTGTAACCACATGGAAAGTTTTAATGAGTTTAGGAAAATCAATCTTAACTCTAACATTCCTAGGTCGCGGCCTTAACCTGCTATATATATCTGGAGAGGTGTTCGTTGAGTGTCTGAGTGATGCAGCCATTTTCGTTCAGTCGCCGAGTTGCAACCGCCTTAACAACTGGCATCCTGCCACGGTAGTCAAGGTCCCTCCACGTAAGCCGACGGATTTAGTTTTTCCAAGCATCTCAATTTGCATTGCGATTGTGTTTGCTGAAAATGTGAATATACGCTACTTTAAAAAAATATTTAATTCGGGATAAAAATTGCGTGCTTTTGAAGTGATGCGATACCATTCCTTTTATTCACTATTAGTTAGGACACTGTTTAGAAGGTATTAGGTAAGGGTTCATCACCTAGAGTAGTACTATGAATTCCCGTCGGTTTCAGGTTGCAATCTTCGTGTTTTCGATAACCGCGAATTTGCGGATTTGCTGTCGCAGTCAGTTACCAGGAATTATGAAACCGTGTTCTCCCTCACTCACATGTGTTTCATCCGAATCAGCTTTGTGAAAGGATGGGGCGCTGACTATCGGTATGTCACAACTTTTGCCTTTCGTTCCAGGGATTAAATGCCTTGCTGTGTTGACAGTTATTGTTTTTACCCTACGTGACGCTTTGGGTAATTATCCAGTTTTCTCCGTAAGACTTTCGGCAAAATTTCAAACACTTAACCTATATCTTTTTCAGATCGCTATACAGTGACAAAAAAATCTG